TACAGAATAAAAGGATTTTAAGAATAATAAAAAATAGATAATATTCTAATAATAAAAAATAATAAAAATAAGATTTAAAAGATATAAAAGTAATAATTTCTCAGTATATTTATAACAGACAAAACTTCCGATACAATTAAAATAATAAAAATAAATAAGAAGCTATAGATAATAAAAACACACAAAATTAAATAAAGGTATCTAAAACCAACTTTTTATTTTAATAAAAAATATTAATAATTATAAAAATAAAAAATATTATAACAACCGTTTACTAGAGTATTTAAAAAAGTTAATATAAAGAAAATAAGTAACCGGTTTATTTAAATAAGATCTAAAATTAATATAACTTAATATATTTTTATATATTATAGAACAGAAAGACATAAAATATAAATATTAATAAAAAAGTATGATTTCTTAAATATATTATAAAACAAAATAATTAAGTATATATACTATAAAATATACTACTAACTATAAATAAACTGTTAATAAAAAAATAAATATATTAAAGTTATTTATTTAATAAAGAGTTTAAAAGACTAAAAAATTAAATATATCATTTACAGTAAACTAGACACTAATACCGCAGACAGGAATATGGGAAGGCACAGAGGCCTTAATACACCGAATACTGGAGACAGCAGTCACACTTATAGACTTATTTATAGAACTATTTATTAAATTATTTTTAGAATAATTTATAGAATAGTTTACAGAATACTTTATAAAATAATCTATAAAATCATCTATAGAATAATTTATAAAACAGTTTATTAAAAACAGTTTATATATAAATGAAATATTGAAATATATAACTTAAAGCTAAAATACAGAAATTTTGATAAAGTAAAATTAGCCAGATAAAAATAAAATAAGATTTTTATATAAAAAATATACAAATCTAACTTCAAAAAATTGTTCAAAATCAATAAAAATTTCTATGAACTATAGATAGTATTAATCTATAGTAAAAAATCTAATCCATTTATAAAATTATTCAAATTTTTAAAAATATTAAGAAATTAGACTATAAAACCAAATCCTATAATTTTTATATCTTTTACTAATAGACTTTCTATTTTGGAAGATAGCTCTATAAAAATTATATAAATAAGAAGACTAATTCTTTCCGTATTAAATTAGCCTATTTTAAGAAAATTATACTAAGAATTAAACGAGAAATCGACTTTTTAATTTAAATACCCTTTTTTCTTATATAATAGTAGAGATATATTCTAGTATTCTGTTTTTAATTGTTTGTTTTTTGTTCTTATTAAACTATATATATAAGTTCATATAGGCATTGTTGTTAAAATAGTAAAATCTAAATATTTTTAATTATTGATTCTGCTGTTTTTCAGCAGCTGTTTTCTATACTGTCTATAGAATATTCTTTAGGTTTACTAACTCTCTTTCTTTTCGTCTTCTTGACAATTAATCATATTAATCTTATCATCTTTACATCTATTGTATTCTGCCATATTTAATATTTAAATGTGAAAAGAGTGGTCAGTTTTTTTATTATAATAATTATATATATTATTTAAGTAGTTTTGATCTATTTAGGCCTTATAGTAAGCTAAATGTCACGGTGTGAGCAAGAGGTTCCCGTTGACCCCTGAGAACCACTGAGAACCACTACCTGCCTGAATCTGCCTGAATCTGCCTGAATCTGCCTGAATCCTGTATCGATGCAACCTTGTATAGTGTGCGCAGTGTAAAGCCATCGGCTTTACATCCTTGTCCTTTTGCCAATGGTGCAACGGTTATCCTTTGAATGCGTACCCGAGGTGCTCCGTGACACTAAAGAAGTATATGAAAAATCTGATTTTTTATTAGCTAAACAGCTTACTGTCTTTTGGCCGGTAGTTTAGATAGATGCTTAGATAAATAAATCTATCTCTCTTTATACTCTTCTCACATATCAATCTTTATCCAAGCCATATTTATTGTATTCTACTATAACTTTCTTCTCTTTAACCATCTTAATTATACTTATATTAAAATGTATAATCCTCGCGCATAACAATACCATAACATTACAAGTCAACTAAATTCAAATTCTATAAGTAGTTTTACCTAAAAAAGAAGTCTTTTGTGTTTTACTAAGTTCTGCAATGAAGATATTTCTAATAGAGAAATTAACATCTGCACAAAAACAGGTTTAATAGTATAGTAAGGGTCAATAGAGGGACTAACTTGCTTAGATAGCCGACTTGTTTACTGATTATGTTATTAGAATATCTTATTCTGTATTAGAGCATAATCATATAGTGTCTAAAGGTCTTTGGAGTCTTACTACCTACTATATACGGTTTAGTTGCAGTAATATTCGAGCTACAGCCGCTGTCAATAGCCGTTACGGAGCCGACCTGGCTTTAGCCGGGTGGGGGTTGCCAAGCGATAAGTATTCGCATTGCATTGACTACTCCGTATGCATTCGGGTCGGTTGGTGGAGCAATAAGTGTGATTTCCCATAAAGTATTACACTTCCGTTGACACTTCTCATCAAAACTCTTGGCACCTGACCGCATTTACCATCCTGCCCGTTGATTTAGCCCTCCACTGACTAGGCTTGTTTTAGCACCAACTGCTTATAGCATGTGTAGTTGGCGCCGCGGGCCTCTTGACCCTAATATGGTGTAGTGCCGGGCACAGTTGTCATATCATCCCAAAGCTACTGCGCTCCTACCACTGACATACAGGCTCTCTACATTGTTTTGCCTTCGTTTCCATGTGGAATGACCGAATGAGCTCGTCAAGGCACCTCCATCGCACGTCCACTTTATATTATAGCATTATCGCAAACGCTCCACAAAGCAAGGCAGATACACCTCCCTCTATTCCTGTGTGCTATCTTCTACTGCAGCCTTCCCACGAATGCATATAATTCAGCCTGGAGGCCGCATATTGATAAGACGATGAGCTTGAATCACAGAGACGCAGTCTCATCTGCCGAGGGCGAAGATCAAATTGCGTTGTCCGAAGTGCCCAAGATGCAAAAGTCCAGCACTTTCCAGGTATGACCGCCGGCATGTAACAGACAGTCAGCGCACTTACACCTCAGGACAACTTTCCTGTACAGGCGCCTACTCTAAGTAATAGGATCAAGTGGAGGATTTCGGAACCTGTTGCCGCAGCTTTCGTCGCCGGCGGCGTGGCCGGGGCCGTATCTAGGACCATTGTCTCGCCACTTGAACGTCTCAAGATCCTTCTACAAATTCAAAGTGTTGGGCGAAATGAATATAAACTTTCAATATGGAAAGCGCTGGTGAAAATAGGCAAGGAAGAAGGCTGGAAGGGCTATCTGCGGGGAAACGGGACTAACTGCATTCGCATTGTGCCGTACTCCGCGGTCCAATTCGGAAGCTATAATTTCTACAAGAAAGTCAGTGAGTTCAGCGCTGGTTGTCCAAAGCCCCGGACTCAGTCGCCACATTCCCCTTGAGCATTCTCATGTGAAGCCTAGTACAAGGCTGACTTTACTTGACTCGATCACCTATAGTTCGCAGAGCCTTCTCCCAATACAGACTTGTCCCCTATCCGGCGGCTCATATGCGGAGCTGCTGCAGGGGTTACATCCGTGACGGTGACCTATCCTCTAGACATAGTCAGAACTCGGCTTTCTATCCAGTCAGCCTCGTTTGCAGCACTCGGCCAGCGGGGAGCCGGGGAGCCATTGCCGGGTATGCTTACAACCATGATCCTAATATACAAGAACGAAGGTGGCATAGTAGCATTGTATCGGGGTATAATCCCCACAGTGGCTGGTGTTGCCCCATATGTAAGGACCACATTAACATGACAATTGATAAACTTGGCTTGTGGACTGACAGCTATAGGTTGGTCTAAATTTCATGACATATGAATCGGTTCGCACTTATCTCACCCCCGAAGGCGAAACAACGCCCAGTTCCGTTCGTAAATTATTAGCCGGGGCAGTTTCCGGGGCAGTGGCTCAGACTTGCACCTATCCATTGTAAGAGACCCACACACTACTGTCATCTTCACACACGGGCGGCCTCATACTCACCACTGTTGTAATAGTGATGTTTTACGTCGACGATTTCAGATTAACACAATGTCGGGCATGGGATATCGATACACATCGGTCGTAGATGCTGTGAAAGTCATTATGGCCGAGGAAGGAATACGAGGCCTATTCAAAGGAATCGTTCCCAATCTCCTGAAAGTGGCCCCAAGTATGGCCAGCAGCTGGCTCAGCTTTGAGCTGACAAGGGACTTCCTTGTTAGCATGGGCGAGATATGAGAATACAACCGCCGTGCATCTCAGCGCGTGGACAAAATTTCTTCAGCCCATAAGAAAAGAGATCACCAATGCCACATAAACACAGTGAAGGCATAAGAACCTGTAAATTCTCCTATTGGAACGAGCAGGATCTTATTGATTGATGGGAGTAATTTTTCTAACATACAACATTGTACTCTGTCCGATAATGTCCTGAGGTGCAGAAGAGAAAGACAAGAATACAAAGGTTTCTATCCGTAGATAACATCAACGTCAAGAATACTCCTACGCAGATGAAATTAGCTAAACTATGGGTCTAAGAGCAAGCTAGTACTACAAGAAACACAATTTTAATTACAAGGCATGAGCCAAGGTGGAGGCGGAGCTGTGCATTACACTTAAGTACACGTACTTACGGGCCCGAATAAAGTTATTCACTGACGCTGCCTGGGGCGCCAGGCAGCCAGGCATCAGGTATGACCTGTTACGGATTAGACTAGGGCACAACCCGCACACACCGTCCATCTGAAAATCGTAGACTAAAATCCTGAGCAGCTTCACTTTACCTACGGGTGCGATAGCCAGCTAACCTACAGGTGTCCCATCAGAATCAGCAGCCATGGGTACGTCTCTGAATGCTGCGGACGGTGCATGGTGTCGGCCGCTGAAATTTCATTTTCATGAAACTTGCGATAGGCGTTGCTATCGCTGAAATGTGAACCGAACAAGTACTGATTTTGTATAGGTATCGACTTGGATCGCCACCATGTGCGCGGCACCCACCGCAAGGCGCCCAAGAGCGAGAACGTTTACTTGCAGGTCTTGGTGAAGCTCTATCGTTTCCTCGCCCGTATGACACCAACCACTTCCTGACCATCAGAATACCCAGCAAATGAAGACTGATAAATTTGCTCCATGTCAGGTCGCACGGAATCAAACTTCAACAAGGTCGTGCTCCGTCGCCTTTTCATGTCCCGGATCAACCGCCCCCCGGTTTCCATCTCGCGCATTGTCTCCAACGTTACCGACTCCCACAAGGGCAAGACAATTGTTGTGATCGGAACCGTGACCGACGACAACCGCCTTCTCACCGTCCCCAAGCTCTCGATTGCCGCTCTCCGCTTCACTGCCACTGCTCGCGCCAGGATTGAGAAGGCCGGTGGTGAGACTCTTACTCTCGATCAGCTTGCTCTGCGCGCCCCCACTGGAGCCAACACTCTTCTGCTTCGCGGACCTAAGAATGCCAGAGAGGCTGTCAAACACTTTGGCTTCGGCCCCCACAGCCACAAGGCATGTTATATCGATTCAATGGATTGGACCGGGCTAATACGTTACAGAAACCATATGTGCGCAGCAAGGGCCGCAAATTTGAGCGTGCTCGTGGTCGGAGAAGGTCTCGTGGTTTCAAGGTTTAAAAATAGGGGTCAGGCTCATACTTTCCTTGTTAAGTAGATGCTGCCCAGGTATGCAGGAGAATGTAGCACAACCTCAAACATGTGATCTTGAACCATGGCTAGCGCCCGATTACTTCGTCTCTTGCGCCAGGCTATCTGTTAGTCATGAATAATCAGGTAGAGAAGCTTGAGCGCCACGAAAATGAAAATGGATTAAAACGTTCAATTTTAATGATGGAATTTGTAACAGCATCTCACAAAGGTAGCACCTCATGCTTCCAGCTTTTTCCACTACCTGTTCCGGAATAATCCGCAGCCCTGTGGCCCTGCCCCCGAACTTTATACTTGTAAATGGTCAATCCATCTAAGCCAACAGGGCCTCTCGAGTGGACCTTGTTTGTGCTGATTCCAACCTCCGTACCGAAACCATAACGCATCCCATCTGCAAATCTCGTCGAGGCATTCCAGAAAGCTCCGGCGCTATCAACACCATTCATAAACCGTTCGGCAGTGCTTCTTGATCTCGTGACAATCATGTCGGTGTGTTTTGACGAGTGCCTGTTGATATGGGCAATTGCTGCGTCAAGGCTTTTCCCAGGTGAATCGTCGCCGGGTATAGTTTTCACCGCCAGAATGAGGTCCAAGAACTCGGTCTCGTAATCAGACTCGACAGCGTCCGAAACCAAAGAATGTTGTTGACCGACAATCTTGCTCGACAGCGCTTCTTTCGAAGACGGATCACAACGGAGTGATACTCCTTTAGCTAAGAGCGCCTCAGCAACAGCAGGAAAGATAGTATGGAGTACATCTTCATGCACGAGTAAGGTCTCTAGGGAGTTGCACGCTGCCGGGTAATCGGTCTTGGAGTCTACAATAACCTTCACGGCAACATCGGGATCGGCGTCGCGATGTATGTATGCGGAGCAAAGACCGTCTGCATGGCCCAGAACAGGGATTTTGGTGTTGTCCTGTACGAAACGAACAAGGTCCTTGGAGCCCCTGGGTATAACCAGGTCAATGTAGGTGTTCTGAGCAAGAAGGGAAGAGACAACCTCTCGCGTCTCAACCAACTGGATCGAAGCCTTTGGCACCTGAGTGTGTGCGATAGCCTCTGAAATCACCTTGGATATTGCCATGAAAGACTCAGTAGATTCCTTGCCACCTTGATCGCTATTAGTCCCAGGCGATCTCTGTAAAAAAAGAAGAATAGACATACCTTTCAGAATAGCAGCATTGCCAGATTTTATAGAAAGGGCAGCGATGTTGGCTATCACCTCAGGGCGAGCCTCAAAGATGATTAACAGCACCCCAATGGGGCAGCTGACTTTTTCGAGCGTCAGGCCATCATCCAGTAGTGTCCTCATGGTCACATTCCCGACTTCGCTACGTCAGCTCTTTGATCACATCGCAAGGGAGAGGTCACGTAGTAATTTGGTGGAATTGATACCTGGATCCTGCAAGTCTCTGACACTCAAGATACCCTGAAGCATTTCTTCGAATTTTCCGGGTCGTGACAGATCGAGCCTTTTGAGAACACTTTGGTTGAGAACGCCGGCTTCAACTGCGCGCTCAGCAGCCGCGACATCTCTCGAATTGGCTGCTAGAATATCATTCCGGCTTTTCGCAATGGCTTCGTGGAGCGCTGTCAGAGCGTCATCCCTCTCGGCCCCAGATAGGGTTGCTAAAAGACGAGACGCTATAGACGCAGATTTCGCGATCTCGCCTGGCGAGGAATTTGTGAGGGACATCATAGACCACAATACAAGTGAAGATGCTCAATTTTTACTAATACAGGTTCAGAGCCTGAAGTGAGCCGTCTGGATAGCGAAATCCGGGGTGCAGTTCGAGCCTCTGCCAGACTTCGGTCAGTGAGTCACGGTTAGGACGCTAAAGATACAAGGTACGTAACCTGGAAATAATGCTGCTAACCTAAAGGCCCGTAGTCTGGTGGGGTCCCAGGCGGTGCGTTATGCTCCCTGCCGGATCGCCTGGATCACAACTGGAACTTATTACACAATGTTGAAACATACTCCGTATGTCGAGATTACATCTCACACTCTGAATTGACCCAGCTGCATACAATCTTACTACAGACCCGTTTATCCTCAAGGCGGCATCCATAGCATAACGTCCGTGGGTCACGTCGGCCAAATCCCATATTCAACCTCGGCAGCATCTTCTAGCTAGTGGAGAGCATCATTTACCTTCTTCAACCAGCCCATGCTCATGCTGTTTTGACGCCTCAACCATTTCTCTGGGCATTACCTCTATTGCACCATACATATGAGATTGCGTCAATCATTGAAACCTTGAAAGCCAGCCCTCATTTGGGCGCAGAGGTTACTCAGTCTTCCTCGAGGCATCAAAACAAACCCGATCCGATAGCCTAATCATGGCAGAGTCTGTTGAGCAAATTATTTCTTTATCATCCCATCTGCATTCTCAAAATCGCTTATCTGAAACCGACTATGTAAACCGGGTCCAGGAATTGGTCGCTATTCTCAGGCGATCAAGTCACAGCCTTCTCAGCGAGGCTGTCTTGACTGTAAGCAAAGATATACGCTTCCTCAGAAAGATGACGGGCATATGCGGCCTCTATCAAAGTCTGTACTGATCTGGAGTCTAATTCTGCAAAGGACCTGAATCCCCACGAGCACACTTTACCCTATTTATTCGTGTTGCTCCATCAGATTGACTTGGCACGCAGCAGAACAAGAAGTGCTTTGCCAGACGACATAAAGCCCGGTGGCCGACTATGGTCTCCAGCCGTACAGTTTTTGAGAGAGTTCAAAGGACCTCAAGTTCGTTTTGTGGGCCATGAATGGCGTCAACTTGTGAATATGATTCTAGATGCCGCAGAAGATGACTCGAAGGTGAGTTTCTCTTCTAAATATCCAACCTGTCTTAGGCATCTAACATGCAACAGCCGGTATTAGCAGTCCGCGTGCTGAGTGGCGCAATAATGCGAATTGATCAAAACGTGTGTGAATTCACCTCGTTGCACCCAAGGTTCCTCCGACTGTGCCTGCTATCGCAGTCTTACAGCTATGCATTGCCTGTACTTGATAAACACATATCCAGTAGTCATACAAGCTTGGAGCAGCCTGCCCGGGGTGACAACGGATATATGCTAGCCTCAAAAAACGATGCCAACGATTTTATTGCAGAAGCACCCGACATCTCTTCCAGACTGACACACAAGGATATTGTGCAGTTTTATCTCTATGGTGCCATGATATACATGGCACTTAAAGAGTGGGATAAGGCCTTGCACTGGTTGAGTGTTGTAATCTCTTTCCCTGTTGTCAATTCAGTGAGCAAAGTCATGATTGAAGCATTCAAAAAGTGGGTGCTTGTGGGCTTACTGAGACACGGCAAGGTGAGTTAGCAGCGCGGTCAGGGTGAAACCCTCATTCGAATTTCACTAATCGCTTGAGTTAGCTCGTTACTGCTCCAAAGATAATATCCTCGCATGTTATGAAGATATACCAAGCTGTCGCAAGACCCTATCTTTCCCTCGCAGATGCTTTTGAAAAGTCGGATGAGCAAAGATTGCGCACGGAGGCGGATTTAGGGAAATCAGTTTGGTGTGCTGTGAGTTGATGCATGGGCAACACCTAACACTAGCGAACTTCGCTGATACGTTACCAGGATCTCAATTCTGGCCTTGTTCGCCAGCTTTTGCAGGCCTATGACATGTTTCTTGTACTCAAACTTTGCAGGGTTTTCTCCGCTCTGACAACAAGAGATATCGCAGCAAAAGCGGCGTCTGCAGGCTTGGTCTCATCAGCGAAGATCGAGAATTTGATTGCGTTTCTTGTGATGTCTGGAGTGCTAGGGGCACGACTGTTGCAAAGGCCTTGCGATCTATCTCTCAGCATGTTGCGTTTCCCTAAGTCCATACAGCCTTATTGCAGTCGAAGCAGGACGAGGGTTGGGCTAATGAGGAAAAGCCATGCACTCGAGCTCTTGAGCCACAACTGTAGGGAATGTAACAATGAGTTAAAGATAGGCCGTGAGAACATCGATGTCCTTGTGAGATGCCAGGGGTGGTCTGGTGTTACAGGAAAGGGAGGCGGCAAGGGCAGTATCGATCATGCTGCTTTCGGGGTTGATGAAGACATAATGGGAGATCTTAGCTAGATGTTCGTCATCGTTAAGTAGTAATTTCAAGTATCTATATATGTTGTCAAGGACGAGGGCATTCTAATATTGGTTTGAAATTGTTCGGAACTACTCAACGCAGTAGACACGTTGATTAGATAAGACAAAAATAGTTTAAAATAATCTTTCATTTACTTTAAAACTAATTTTTAAAATGTTCTTCTTCTATAAGATTCTAAAAGACTATATTACATTAAACAAAAGAAAGAAATAATATAATAATATAAATACTAGAATTAAAAGTCCAGTAAATTAGTATTAATCGAAAAATAAACTATTCTAGTAATAAATATAAATTATTATAATTATAAGTATTATAGAATAATTATATTTTTCTATTGATTTTGTTGGCAGGACCGTCATCTACTTGCTCTTTTCTTTCTTCTTTTGTTTTTGGCATACATATATAATGTAATTGGTAAGCGAGTCGGCCATATAAGCAAGTCGGCCATCTTATTAACTATTATTATACTCTTAAAACTATCTTTATACAGATATTAATTTCTCTATCAAAAATATCCCGATTATTCAAAAACTTGGTAGAATAAAAAGGCAGGATTACCTTATAGTTAAGACTATTTAAAAATATTAAATTCTATTAATTTATTATACTATAAAAGTTTTTAATATTTTGTATTTAACTTTTTAAAATTATTTAAATAAATTTATCTATTATAAAAAAACATATACCAACTACTATAAACTAACTTTTTAAAAAAAGAAATTATATATTAAATAAATTATATTATTAGATTAATATAGTATATCTTTAAGATAGTTTTATATTTATACCATAGCTTTAATCTTAATATAAAAATATAGTAAAAAATTAACCGATTTAGTAAACAAAAAATAAATATATAATCTTATTTCCCGGTATTATAATTTCTTAAAAAATCAGTTTACTTCTTAATTTAATTATAAATATATAAAATATAAGAATCCTAAAATTATATAGGTCTGATTTTAATATATATAAATTGTTATTATATTATACAATACCTACTGCTACAGCAGCCTATATCTACTACTATAGCAGCTGCTTCGGGGTCGATACAAATTTGTTAGGATTTTAATCTGAATGCTTATATTATTATATTACTTATCTCTTCTTTTTATATAATATATTATTCTGATATCCTTTAGAGAAGAAGATTTCTTAAGAATTAGTTTTAGAATTAATAAAAAACTATTTTTAACTATTTTACTTATTTTATCTAACCAGTATGTTTACTACGTTAAATAGTTTCTAATAATTTCTAATTCTTTTTATTTTTAGTTATTTAAAAAAAAGTAATATATTATCTGATAAATCTTTATTAGAATTATTTTAAAGTATTTTGTCTATCTTTAAATCATATTATCTAATTCAGACAGATATTTAAAAAGTATAAACTATTATTTATTAATTAAAATAGTTAAAATAATTAAAAAAATAGATTTAAGTATTATAAACAGAATATAAAAATCTTAAATTTTTAATAAAATTATAATAATATTATACTAGCTCGATTTTATCTTCTAAATAAAAAAAGAAAAAAAATTAAACTTAAAAAGTTCTTATTTTTATTTTTTAGTTTAGTTTATAATAGAGAACAAAGTAGATTTATAATTTATTATATATTTTTAAAAAAACTTTTTAAAAGTATTAAATAAAGAATTAAAGAATTCTAGCTATAGTTAACTATTTAGATTTTATCTATCGGTAGAAATAGTATTAATATATTAATAAAAGAATTTTTAAAAAAACTACTAAAATACGAAGAAATTATAAGATTATTTTATTTAATAGACTTTTTTTTATTTAAAATATAGTTATTTTATAATTTAATATTATAAAATAGCTTAAACAGGCCTACCAGCAAACTAATTAAAATTTAAAAAAGTTTTATTTTTATTTAAATATTTTAAAGTATTATTTTAAATCTAAATAAAATAATAAATATATATTAATCTTTTTTTTAAAACTGGTATCGGAACTTAGTCGATATATTTATAAATATATATTAAAATTATTAGATTTTTAAAAGAAAATGGTATCTATTATTACCTATTATTAAAATATATTAAATTAAAAAAAAAACAAGATCTAAAAAACTAAAAATACTATTTAAATAAAACTTTTAGAGAATCCAGATCTTTGCAGTTTAATAATAAGTTTTTTTTATTTAAATTTTTTTAAAATAGAAGAAATTAAAGAGAAGAAACTCTTTATTATTATAAATATAATAATAAATATTATTTAATCAACTGATATTCTTATAAAAATAAAAATAAAACTAAATTAAAACTAATAAAAAAAAACAGTAGTTAAAAAAGTCTTTATATTTTAAATAAATTAGTTTAAAATAGAAACTATTATTTATTTTAATATTTTTATTTACTTTAAAAATATACTTAAAATTTATGCAGACTTAGATTTATATACTAAAATTAATCTTATTAGCTATTAATTTATTTAATAATTTTATTTGAATATAATTTATTTTATAGTTCTATTAGTTGCTATAATTAATTATCTTATTATAAATATTTATAGTATATAAAAAATCTTTATTACTATTATTAATTTAAAAAGAACTATATAATTATTTATAAAATATTATATAATTATTAATTATATTCTAGATCTTTCTAAAAGTCCTACTTTACTTTTAATAATTATTTTAGAAGATCTATATATTTATTTATTTATATAAAATTAATAGTAATAATATAAGATCTAAATATTAAAGATTTTATTTTTTTATAAATTTATAAAAGCTTGCTGAAATCTTATTTATATTTATATTATTATTAAATTTTTAGAGAATATCTGGCTATTAAAAAATAAAGCTTTTTTAAATTATTTATAAATTAAATCTAATAAGATTATATTATTTTTTAAGCTTTAAGATTTTATAAATATATTTTTTTTAATTATTTTTAATAATTTTTTTATAGATCCTCGGACTATACTATTAATTTAAAAAATAATAAAATTCTATTATATAAATTTATTTATTTTTTATTTTAAGTTAAGCTCTAATTTCTTTATTATTATATTAATAAAAATATTTAATTAAAATAAATTTAATTTTTTAAAAGTTTTACAGAAGCTTCTATTCTTTTTATATTAAAAAAAAATAAAGATTTTTAATTATATATAGATTACAGGAAACTTAATAAGATTTTAATTAAAAATTACTATTTTTTATTTTTAATTTTAGAAATTCTAAATAGAATTATAAGAGCCAAATATTTTTTAAACTAGATATTTAAAATATATATTACTAAATTTATATTAAATAAAAAAATAAATAGAAAACAGTCTTTTAAATTTGTTATAAATATTTTAAATATTTAGTTATATTTTTTAAATTAACTAATATTTTGATTATATTTTAAAACTATATTTATTTAGCTTTTTCTAATATATTAAATATGTTTTATATTATTTATTTAAATAATATTCTTATCTTTTTAAAAAACTGTTTTTTTTATATTTTTTTTATTTATATTAAGTATTAGAATATTTATAAAAAGCAGATCTTTATATTAAGCTATTAAAGTATACTTTTTACTAAAATTATATTAAATTTTTAGAATATATTATATTCTTATATATTATATTAATAAATTTTTAATAAATATTTAATATTTTTATATAGCTGATACTAATTATATATTATAAAATCTAAGTATTCTTAAGATTTTGTAATTTTTATTAATATTTTATTAAAAATTATTTTTTAATTATATTACTACTAATCTCTTTTTTAAAAGATATCTAGAATAAAAAGAAGTCTAAAATAATAATATTAATTAATAAAAAAATAATAGTATTTTAACAGCTCTTCTATAATTTTAAAACTATATTTTTATTAAAGTATTTTAATTTTTAACAGAAAATCCGGGTAGAAATAGATATTTTTTAATAAAATATAATAGAAATACTATTCCAGCCAGATAACTATAAAATATACTATTTTATTATATTCTAGTTAAAAAAGTTTAATAATATTAAAACTTATTATTTAATTTTAAATTAAAAGCTTTTTATTATTATTTATTTATTTAAATATTAGTATTAATATCTTAAAAAACTATTATATACTATTAAAATTCTTTTAGATTATTAAAATCTCTAGATTTTTATAAAATAACTAAAGCTGAACAGTTATCAGGCTTAATAATATATATATTTTAATAATTCTAATTTTATTATTTAATATTAGTCCGGTAGATATAATTCTACTAATTTACTATTAAAAATAAAAAAAGATTTAAAAGTTCTGTCTAATATAAAAATTCTAAAATTAATATAATATTAAATAGCTGGTAAATTTCTTATAAAATTATAACTAATTTTAAAAAAGTTCTAGCTAAAATATAATAAAATATTTTTATAAAGAAATTTTAAATTTTATACCTGTCAGTATATATTAAGTTTATTAAAATCTAAATATAATTAAATCAGTATAAAAACAGTTAACTGGATTATTAAAATAAAAATATTTTATAATTTATATATTAATATATTAGTAATATTTTAAGTATATAAATATAAGAATTTATTATATTCTAAAACTATTAAAGTAAGCTTATTTTATAATAAATATATTAGTATATTAGCAGTATTCCGAGTATATAAAAATAAAAACTT